AAAAATCTCAGGAGGTTCTTAGGAACTAGACGTAGGCCAAATAGAGTGGGCTGAATTAAGATAAATTCCTTGTGTATTGCTCGCTATCTCTCTCATTGTGATCAACTTTATTTATCCTCTCATCATTCATATTTCAAGTTTCTATGATCAAGAGCTTTAAGCGATAAATTGGAGGACACCTAATTCACTCCCTCTTGGCTGACCAGCATATCTAATAGGTTTTCGACGTGCATGCAGGTAGGTTCGTGAGAGCATGCCTAAGAGGACGTCAGAGTAGTCATCAGATTTCATGATGGTGGGAAGCACGATTTCTGTTTTTGACATAAAAATAGGGGAGAACAAAACCTAAGTCAAGTGTCATCATTTTAGTATGAAGCCGCTTCAACTGTCGGCAAAGGGATAGTAGAATACTAAGGTCTCAGCCAAAGCCTTTTTGGTCACTTGAACTGTATCTCATCCTCTCATCAAAGAATTGTGTTGATAGAACTGGATTATTGGAATTTAGAACTGAAGGCTCCTTTAGTTGTTGACCTCAAGCAAATGCTTCACCACGGTGCCATTGCCTTTGCCACACCTACCATTTTTAGTTGATGCCAATGAACTATGATATGGGTTGATTAGATATGGAGAGAGAGTGGGGAGGAGAGGGAGGGAGAGAGAGAGACAACGGGAAGGAGATGGAGAAGAGGGTGGGGTGGAAATAGAAAAGGAGAGAGATGGGAGGAGAGAGTTATTTTATATTATAAAAATATTTTAAAAATGGTGGGACCCACTATTAAATATTTTACAATGAAAATATTAAAAAAAATTCAAATATGCGCCTCACATAATGGGATAATAATGTCAAGGTACGGCAAACTGAATTTCTAAAGTTAAGAGATAAAATTGATCAAAAATTATATTTATAATCATTTGTAAACTTTTGCATAGTTTCAGGATAAAATTGACTTTTAACCTTAATATTATATAAAGGAGATAAAGTAGTGACTTGAATTAGTTTTTTACCTGCCTTCCTTTGCTTCTCATGTGACTGTTCTTTAAAACAGAGCAATTCTATTGATGTCTTCACCATAAGATAACACTATGAGCTTTCAATCACAACAATTTTTTTTAAAAAGAAGTGGTTTAATTTATTTTTGCTATAAGTGTTATCTGTCATGTGACATTTTCAATAGACTCTTGGCCATTGTTGTGCTTATTGAAAGCCAATAACGTTCTGCTGATGAAATTTTAGAGTAACTAACTAAGAAAAAATATGTGCAAAATCCAGGGAAAGAGAAAACATTCTGCCAAACTTTAGATTTGTGATTTAAAAGTATCACAAGAGTTGTCTTCAGCTTATCCAAGAGAAAGACATTGAGCTTTCTGTTGTTCATGAAATCTCGAAACTCGCTTGAGGCCATCTGATCATCTGGCAAGGTCTGCACAGAAGCAGAGAGCACCGCTTCTCCCACCTTAGCGGCGAACTCCATGGCTTGTTTTGTTTCAGAACTCAAAAAGTATTGCTTAGATGAATGAGAGAGAAGAGAGTTTGATGGGAAGAGATAGAGTGAAGCCACTGAGAGAATACTTTGCGCGTCAGAATATAAGGTTAAGGTAGGCCATCCGCAGCAACATCTCTGTTCGTTCTTGGAAAAGTCTACCAAATTAAACAATCATTCATTTTACTATCTATATGTTATTTTTTTTATATTAAATAGAAACTGTCAGAAAAGTTTACCATAATTTTAATTTTCTGGTTGAATTCTCTTTTATATCTGTCTTTAGTTGTGAATTTTGATTTTCTTGCTTTAATCCTATTTTCTGTTATATCTTAATCCTCTAGTTCTCACATTGACAAGAAATGAATAATACTGATAATGATGTAGAGAATTATTATTATGGAGGATTAAGGTTTCAAAATTCTGAAATAATTTCCTAAACTGTTTAGTTGATTAAACATGGATGGTCCTAAGAAGAAGGACTTGTATTTTTAAAATATTGGTAGGCCATTCACAATAACTTCTTCGGTCTTTCATGAAAGAGATTAACCCACAACCGTCCATTTTACCAAGAGTATCTTCTAGTGGCATTGTTGAATGGAACATATCAGCGAGGGAGGATTTTAAATTTAAAGATGCTTCGTGGCTTTGCTAGATTTCATATGTGAATTGATAATTAAAAAATCACCTTTATTTTAAATTTAATATGTATTAAAATTATAAGTTACTTAAATATTTTTAAAAAAATTAAATGAAATTTGATTTGTGAAGAAACCAATGTAGACAATTCAAATGGATGATGAACACTTTGGGCAAGAGTGAATGCTATTACAAAAATTGTCAAATATGACACATAGTACTTGTGGTTTATAACATGAATTTGACAGCTTCTCACTGATTTAATTTTGGCCAAATAAGAGGCCATTGCCAGAAAAAATTAGAACTCAGAGAGAATGGGAAGAGTGAGAGAGGAACAGAGGAAAAGGAAGAAGAGGCGAAGATATTTAAGTCATTGAAAAAAATATTTTAAAGAATAATATATCAAAAGTAAAAACCCATTATAAAGTGTGTTGTGTGTGTATGTTTGTGTCTATATATAAATCATCAGCTTAAGATTTTAGGAATATGAAGAGAGGATTAGTTAGTTTCTTACCCGCTCTTGATTCAATCTGTGCTGGAAGTGGAGCAATTCTTCTGCTAACCTAATAATATAAAACAAAGAATTAATTAGATACACATTTTATAAAAAAAAATTTCATTAAACATTAAAAAAAAAGAACTGTTGCTTAGCCTCAACAACTGGGTTAGCTTCTTACTTGACTTCCTTGGATATCATATCTGTCTCTTGTGTTTGAAGTATAGAAATTCTACTGCTTCCCCTGTTCCTCATCTTCTTGATTAATCAAAACATGCAAATCTTATAAATTCAGAAATTAATTAATGTTACTTAACAAATATATATGTGTGTATCATAACTCACATCTCATTAGAAATATATGTGATTAAAATCACACTTCATTCGTTCATAAATATCTAATCAGGCATGGATATTAAATACTATATCGAGCCAAATAATTAAATATGGTTCCAAATCTTGTTATTATTATTATTAACGAAGGGGGTACGAATTCTAGGAGCAAAAAATAGTTTAAATAACATATTATTAAAGTATTAATATTAATAATTTATTACTCCCTCTATTTCAAATTATAATATACTTTTAAATAAAATTTCATATACTAATAAATCTCATTAAATACACTTAACAACCTTATATTTTCAAAACAAAAATATAAACTTTTCAAAATACCCATCATTTAATATATTGAAAAGAGAAGAGATGGAAATTAATTATAGAGGGAGAAAGGGTAATATTGAAATTGGTGTATTTAATGAAATCTTAATCTACCCAAAATATCTTATATTTTAAAACAAAGAAACTTCTGAAGAAGTGCCCTATAATTTGAGATAGAGGGAGTACTTAATAATTTAAATATTTTATTATTTAAAAATTTTCACACACAATTTACATGGCAACTCTTTTGATGTACAACTTTATGAAGGAGGACTTGTTAATTTTAAAGATAGACTTATACTTTATCATACTATTAATTTACAAATCACCTATAAATGTTAGAAAAACTAGTTGAGTTGTTAATATTTAAAAGATGATTTATAAATTTTGTATGAATATTTATAAATAATAATATTTAAACTTTTAAATAATTAAATATTTAAACAAAATTTTAGTAAATTAAATATGATATTTTTAATTACTTATCTATCTTTCTAGCATTGATGATTCAATAGTCACACAGAAATCGGTCAAAGCGATTGACTAAAATAATATTTTAATATTTTATATGGGTAATAAATAAGATTAGTCAATTCAAATTTATTCATAATTTAAGAACTTAATCTGTATTAATTTTCTTATAAATTCTTTTTATACAACTTTTTGAGTCTTTTTTTGTAATTCTCTAGATCCTTTGTTTGTCATTTTTTGGGCCAACTAATAGTCAAATCAAAAGATGTTTAACATAGAGATAATATTGCTCATTAAAAAAAAATTATTTAGTGGAGAAATTGCCGCACTTTTCACTATAAAATGTCCAATGCTTTTAAAAAAAATTTAGGAATAAATTAGGTCTTTAACCCAAATAATATTGAATTACCTAGTTTCACCCTCTCTGTTTTTTGAATCTTTTCTGTCAGTGCCATAAATACCTCTTATGAGAACTGCTTGATATGTAACATTTTCAGGGACTCATGACCATTTCTCTGCTCATTGAAAGCTAATGACATATATTATTTCCAAGTTATATAAGTTCCCTCATGATTCAGAATTAACAGCAATATGATATAAAAAATAAAATTGAAAAGTGGTTTGTTCCCATTATAAGCATTGCTTGATACGTGGCATTTTTAGCGAACTTTTGGCTTTAGCTTTGCTCATTGAAAGCCAGTAGCATGCTGCCTTTGTAACTGTAAAAAGCAATATAGATGCCAAAACAAAAAAAGTGACAGTAAGACTTGGTCCACTGTTCATGATTGGGTATATGAGTTTTGTGAAACAAGAAATGAAGAACAACAAATGCAACTTATCTCGTTACAAAAAAAATCCAAACTCTTCATATTTATGAGAGACTGGACAAATGTAGGGAATAAGCTAAGAAAGCTGGAGAACCATCATGATAAAATGGTTCAAATTACACCAATCCTGTTATGGACAGATATTTCTCATGTTATTCTGTCAAATGATCAAAGAATGCTGCCAAGTCTTGTATACCTTTATGATTAACAAATATCATTCATCAAACGAACACAGATGACATATATAACAAGCTGCAATAAATTGTGCAGATCAAATTTGACAGAACCAATATATGATAAAACTTAAAAATTGAAACATCAAGCCATAATTGAAATTTTAAACAATAATTTAAAGCAACCATAGAAGCAATCCCATTTATTGATAAGAAATCGCATCAATGGAAATAAGCACAACTGGCTGTTGAAAGGAATATATATATATATATATATATATATTACAGAAGCACTGAGGTTAAGCAAATTCTAGAAGTTCACCTATATCTGCTGCAGGCAAGATCTAGTCATAAGATGTAAACAAATGCTATGACCACAAGGGAATACCAACATTGTGATGTGCAAGCCTGCAAGGTCAAAAATGAAAAAGAAACAATAAATAATATTTGTTGATGAATATTAAAATATTTAGTTGTCTCTAAATTTCAAGGCTCACCTTTTGATTCTATGCATGTAACATCTCCCTCAAGAATCATAGTGTTGGTCATTAATCTTTATAGTAGGAGTATGAGCAATCTTGGACAAGTGCTTTCCTCTCTGATAATGACATCTCTCTCTTAATTCAGGACAGCGAGAGATATGCAATAACAAATGAGAGGATGGCAGATCATCTTCTGGCAAAGATTCAAGGTTTGGACAATCATGGATGTAGAGTGCTTCTAGAGAAGCAAGGTGTTGAATCCCTTTTCCATCCAAGAATTTAAGATTAGGGACATTCCGTATGTAGACACGCACAAGAGAAGTTGGCAGTAACTGTTTCTTCAGTAAATTGTGGAGAATACCTTCACCTTCATCACCTCTAAACCAAAATTCTAAGAGAGAAGCCATCCGTTGGAAACCCCAATCCTCTATGGACATAGATGATAGTCCCTTGCAATCATCAACCAAAATTGATCGCAAGTTAGAAGGTAAACCATGTTGAGGCAGCAAGTTAAAATTCGGAAGCCGAGAAAGATTAAACTTTTGAAGGGCACCAAGGGAATCAATTTTCACTTCTGCCATTGATCTAAGACTTTTGCAATCAAAGGCACCAAAAGATTCTAAGGTAAGAGCAGATCCCCCAAATTGTGTAAACATGTCCAGATTAAGACAACCATCAAAATAAAGATGTTTCAGCCTTGGAAAACAACTTAAGGAAAAGGATGTTAAGGAATGACAACTATTTTTTATTTCCAAATGTTCGAGTGACGTGTAGTTTTGCCAAGATTCCAGGGGTAGGAATTCTAATTTCTTACAGTCCCAAATTTCAAGCCGTCGCAGTGAAGTGGGCAGGCCATTTATTGGGAAGGACTTCACAAATTGAATATTTATGAGATACAAGTCTTGAAGATAATGGCTACTCGGTTTCAATCTTGGCAAAAGACTGCAAGCTGTAACACACCTCAATTCGGAGACATTTTAGTGAGACCGGAGAATCATTATCAAGAGTCCTCAACAAGCCTTGTTCCCCTAGTTCAATATTTAATTCCTCAATAGATGTAATACATTGCAAAGCTGATGATTTTACCTTCAATTGATTGCACTTTAATATATCAACCTTTGTCAATGAAGGAAGATTGTTGGGAATGTCTCCCTTGAACATAGGACAATCATATAAATACAAATGTTTAAGACAAGGAAATGGAAATTTGGTACCTTTAACTTCAAATGGTATCCATTCCTCCCAAACTGGCATCTTCTCAAATCTTAGACTTTTCAAAATCCGAAATGGCTGAAATGAAGAGGACTCTGTTTTACTGCAATAAAACTCATGACTAACTGTGTGTATTAATGTTATTCCTTTGATCAAGAGCTCTTTGAGAGAAGGTGGTTGTCCAAATGGTGGAAGTGATAAGCAATAGTTGCAATCACTTATAGATAAAAAGGTAATATTTGTAAATGAAGAATTTCCCACCCAATTTGGAAAGCTAGTACCACCATAATAGTTGACGGTCAATCTTTGTAAATTTCTTGAAGGTTGCAGCATGTCAAGTACATCTTTTACAACTCGTGAATCCTGAGTATCACAGTCCCATTCCAACACTAACTCCTCAATTTTTTCTCGCCTCTTCAAGTTCACCACGTAAGCATCCATGCAATCAACGACTTTCTGTAGCATCAAAATGGAAAGCCTTCCTTGTAGATGAGGGAGTTTTCTTAACTCCTTATCCCCAAACCATCCTTCTGTTTTCCCACCCCAAAAGTACTCAAATTATAAAGATTTTGAAGTTTGCTAATTTGTGTTGGCATCTCCTTCAAAGCAATGCCACTAATGTCCAGATGGCGTAGATTAATAAGCTTCTCTATCTTTCCAGGCAAGTCATTGAAAGACAAACAATATGATAAAAGCAAGGTTTGCAAGTTGTAGAGTGTAAAGCTTGAATCAGGCAACCGAGTGATTGAGGTATAGGAAAGGTCCAGATATCGCAAATGCTGCAAGTTGCCAATTGAATTAGGCAGCTCAGTGATACTGTAATACCCTGACAATGACAGCGCTCTTAACCATTTTAGTTTTGAAAACAAATCAGGTGGCACCTTTTTGAACAAAAAAACAAAAGATCCCATATTTAGTTGGTAATGTGACAAAAGAGTCCTCAAACAATTTAAATGGTAAAAGCTCTCAAACTTTTTAAAAGTCATCATATCGTTGTTTGGGATATGATAAATGGCGAACAGATTTTGGGATTTCATTGCCTTCAAACCAAAGACAACTCCTACCAGATACAAATTTGGCTAAATCATTGATGAGATCATGCATGACAAACTTTCTTGGATCACCTTCGTATTGCTGAAAGAAAGGCCTAGACAACAATTCATTAAAGCAGTCACTTGCTTGTGTCTCCAATGCTTTCTCCCCATGGGAGTATTGCTGTACAAATCCTTCAGCCATCCATAACAAGGTCAATTGCTTTTTATCTAACACAAGGTCTTTCGGAAATATTGAACAATAGGCAAAACATTGCTTCAAATGTGAAGGAAGATAAAGATAACTCAAACACAAAGCAGGTAGAACATCATCATTTGGTAAGTCCCACAGGTTGCTATTTAGAATTTTATTCCGCTCCTCTGCATCCTCTTTTGAGCGCAAAAGACCTCCAACTGTTTTGGCAGCTATTGGTAGGCCACCACATTTTCTTGCAATTTTCTTACCAATTGCTTCTAACACTGTATATTTGTTGGGATCTTCATTTCTAAGAGCATGCTTGGCAAGTAAATGCCAACAATTTTCATTTGAGAGAGGAGTCAAGTTATATACAGGAAACGTACGTGTGATTTCAGCAACTCTTTGTTGGTGAGTTGTTACAATGATCTTGCTGCCCCTTCTTCCACAGCGAAAAGGAGTTACCAGATCATCCCAATCACTATATTTATCATTCCATATGTCATCCAACACAAGCAGAAATTTTTTATTGGTCAAGCAATTTTTCGGTTCAAACCGAAGTAAGTCTAAATTTTTATTGTGATAGACTTTTGAAGTGACAGATTCAACCAGATTCTTGGTAACATCAAAAACATTAAACTTGTTTGAAACACAAGCCCGAGCCTTCAAATCGAAATGTTGTCCCACTTCCTTGTCATTGTAAAGGAGTTGTGCAAGGGTTGTTTTCCCCACACCACCCATTCCCCAAATAGTGATCAGTCCTATATCATTATCCTTTGCATCTTCATTAAACAACAGCATGTTCAAAAGTTTTTCCTTATCATCCTCTCTGCCAACCACAGCAGATTCATTTACCAATGATGTTGTAGCTGTTTTAATTCCCCTTGAGCTAACACTTTGCACACCAAGGATATCCTTCTGCTTGGCAAAGTGTTCAAGCCTACTTGATATTGCTTCGAGCTTGGCGTTCATACCCCAGTGTTCAAGCCATTCTTTGACTGAACCATTGGTGACTTGCTTCTCCTCTGCATCATTAAGAACTACTTCAAGCATCAATAGAGTTACCTTCAACCCACCAAAGAGAGAGACTTTCAACTTTCTATTTCTCAAGAAATCTCGAAACTCGTTTGAGGTGATTCTATCTATCAAAGTTTTCGCAGAAGCAGAGCTAAATGCTGGCCCCACTAGAGCTGCAGCCAACAACTCAATGGTATTGCGAGAATATTAAGAGTTTGAATTGTAGCAAATAAGTTTAAGTAGGTAGATACTGATGCAAGAAACCCTTCAACAGCAACTTCAAGACCAAAATAATATTTTCTCTAATAAGCATCTATAATTCAAAACAAGAACTGGAAGCAGTTATATTTTTCTAAACTCGAAAATATATTACAGAAGATATTGTCGCTTACTAATTCAAAACTCTTACCTTGTATATGAATTAATTTATAATCTAATGGCTCTGTCATACAATAACGCAACATATTTTAATAAATGAAAGATTATGGATACCGTGTCACTCGATATAATGAGTCCAGATAAGATATTGTTACTGAAAGCAAATGCAGTGATATAAAAAGCATTTGTCAAATCATAGGGTATAAAATCTAATAAAAGACCCTGATCAAACTTGTGAATCAAAACTAGATTTCAGGGTAACAAGTGTACTACAGATACATAACTTGCAAGAAGTTAAAGATCCTGTCAACCTATAGGCAAAATAATTTTTTTTTTTTTAAATAACCGCAAGATTGAGCAAAACTATAAAGATTAAAAGTTTAAACTTACACAGATCTTAAAATAAAAGTTGCACTATACGTATGCACGCAAAAAAGAAGTTTGCATTATACAAAACTCTTCTATAATTTCAAAATTTCGTTTTCCGTTTTCCTCTATTAATGAACTGTATTTCCCTTCTAGAGAACTTCCATGAGCAGAAATAATTAAAAAATATATATAATTTTGTAAATTTACATAACTATATAAATATATACAATAAAATTTTACACATTATTCTTATTAATATAGTTTCTAATTATAATACATTAAATATTATTATATTCAGAAATTAATTGAACATTAAATTTAACCCAAATTAAAAATAATAATGCTAAGTATATTATTAATATAAAATAAATGAAATCACAAATATATTATTAATAAATTAAATAAGAATTTTTATTTTCTTTATTATCATACATTCTGGAGTGCTTTGATAATGAAGTACTTCTATAACCTGAGATTCTTTCTGTTTTTGGCTAAATTTAATAAAGCGCTACCTTATGCTCATTATTATTTTTTATCTTTTTCATTACTTAAGCCTAAGAAAGTGCTTTGTCGATCGCTCCTTTAGATTGATTAATTCTTTTTTTTTTTTTAAATCTACAGGATCGCTGCTTCATATGAGCGCTCCCATATGTTTTTAGATTTTAAAGTGAAAGGTTTTGTGTATGTTTATTAGGAGCATTTTGTACTTAAGCGCTTAACTATCAATTTATGATCTCAATTTATAACCACTTTCAATCTTCTTCCATAGCCAAATATCTTGTCATAGGCTAGTTGAGCATGTTCCAGATTTCGTCCAGCAATAACATCGACTTCTTTTTGATGATGAGCTCCAGCTATTGACAAACAATTTAATATGGTTGGTTAATTAGTCTCATACTCATTTCACTACAAAAGAATAAAAATAAAAATTTGGCTTTCAGTAACAATTTTTTTTATCACCACTAAAAAGTAATATGAGGACAATGCACTTTATTGTTTATTTTTAAAGACAAAACAACAAGCTCTATTTTATCAGATGGAGTCAGTTACATGAAAATCAGATATTTTTTGTCATCTTAAAGCTTCATACAATGTTTATATTAAATTGACGACATTTGTATTAGTAAATCAAGCAATGAGATGTGTTAATAACGACTGATGTACTCTTTTAACAAGACAGGTATTCCTTCGTTGCTCATCGTATAACTCTTTTCTTCAAAACAGAGCAATTCTACTAGTGTCCTCACCTATGTTGACAAGATTAATTAAAACACAATATTACATTAATTAATTAAATTCAATAGCACTTGAAAGCTTCCAATCACAATAATTAACAAGTGGTTAGTTTTAATTAAAAGCATTACCTGCAGATATGTGACATCTTCATGAAACTTCTGGCCATTGCTCTGCTTATTGAAAGCCAATAGCATTCTGCTTTTGAAATTTTAGATTAAGTTACTAAAAAACAAAGCAGCATCCAAGAAAAAGAAACACTCAGTCAAACTTTTTAGCATTGTACTTTATAAGTAATCTGTAGTGAATATAAAAAATAAAATGTTTCTGTTCGCTTGAAGTCCCATATAGTGACTAATTCTATCAAATTAAAAACAATGGAATTAAGTGAATTATTCTTTAAGAAAAAGCAATGATCCCCAACATTACACTGCTTTTCCTTTTGTTCACTTTTTCTGACCTGATATAGGAAAACAAAATATCGTACGTATTTATTCAATGACACTAATTTTAATAACCAAAGAAAAGTAAGCAATATCCAAGAAAAGAAAAACATACACTCAAACTTTAGCTTCACGATTTATAAATAATTTGAGAATAATATAAAATTAAGATATCTTTCGACTAAAAGGGTATAAATTTTTTTTTTATATATATAAAAGAGTATGAAGTTAAGACCACTATATATATACATTTATATCGAATAATTATTGGGAATATGCAGCAGGCCAAGTGCAAATGGACTTAGGCCATAAGTCCCTTTAGTGTGACGTTGCAATTAAACTAAGAGCCCGGTCCGAAACTTTTTTTTTTTTAATCAAGTTTAACATTGTAATTAAAAACATTAGAATTAGTGAACTATTCTAAAAAAGCAACGAGGCTCAACATTATACTGCATATTCTTTTGTTCATTTTTTCTGACCTGATTTAGGAGAACAAATTATCATACTCATTCAAAGACACTAATTAATCTTAGTAATATTTTGCTAATGAAATTTTTGAGCAAGTTACTAGAGAAAAGCAAGCAATATCCAAGAAAAAGAAAAGTATTCAATCAAACTTTAGCTATGTGGTTTATAAGTAAGGTGTGAATACTGAGTGTCCATTTTTCCTTCAATTCTGCCACAGATTAAGCTTACAATTCTTCTTGATCTCCTTTCATATTTTATCTAGCCTGATATATTATCAAGCAGAGTATCAGATCCGATCCATTAATGACATGCTTGAAATATATTTTGTAACAATAAAGTTCATTACACATTTTTTTCCCAAAAAAAAAGAAAAAAATCAGATGGATCAACTCACATCTATTACCTGATTTATCGAAATATAATAAATCTTATAATATAAGTAATGGGACTTCACTTCTCTCCACTAACCTTCCTCTCCATTTCCTCTTCACTATCCTAAAATAAAATTTGAACTGTTCAAATTTAGTGCGGACTAAATTTGGATAGTCCAATTTAAATTTTTTATTAAAATTTTTATTTTATACTTATTAAAATAAAAATAATAATATTAATAAATTCACTTTATCACTAACCTGGACAATCTAGATTTAATATGTATGATTCAATTTAATATTAAAATTTTTATAATTTTTATAAATTGACTATCCAGATTCACTCTGAACAATCCAAATTTAATATTAATCTTTTTATAATTTTTATTTTAATAAATATAATATTAAAAGTGAAGATTATATCCCAACTAACACTTTTCAAAAAAAATTATAAAAAATTATAGGTTAAAAAATTTAAATCCGAACCATTTAAAGTAAATTTAAATAATCAATTTATCAAAATTATATTAATTTAATATTAATTTTTGGACCCTTGAAATTAAATATGGATTTTTTTGATTGGTGATAAAATAGAATTATTAAGAAATTTAATTTTTATTTTAATAAGTATAAAAATAAATATAAATAAAAAAAATAAAAATTTTAAATCTAGATCATCCAAATTTAGCCTATACCAAATTGGGATGGTCTAGATTTTATTTTAGGTTAGTGTAGATGAAAGTTAGTGAAGAGAAATCAAGTCTGCAGAAGTATCACTTCCCCAACTCACATCTCACTACGAACACGGATACATTTTATATCTAATCAAGCATAAATATTAAATATGTTATACTGGGCCAAAGCACAGAAGAGTGGTTTCTAAAAAAAAAATTTATATATATATATATATATATAAATTTTTAAATTTTATAATTAACCCATATCTTTAGTCACTTGATAATTGAGTTCAAATTTAATATGCTGTCGTGACCCTTTCTCATGTGGAGATGTAAATGACGATTAAGTATTATGAAATATGATAATTATTTTTTAATCTAAAGGGTTTTGTCTAACATTTTGATTTTTGATAAAATGACAAACTTGCCCTCAATGATTATTATGGGAAATTACAACTTTAGTTGTATTATTGGCTAAAATGGAATAGAGAATAACTACTTTCTTTCTACGAATTTGTTCATCAATAAAGTACAGCCAAATTGTCATTTTCTAATCTATTTATAAATCACAAATTTTCATAAAGAAAATAATCATTTTCTATTCTATTTTAGTTAATAATAACGCCACCAAAGGAGTCTATCATTTCTTATAATAATCATTCATAACAATTATGTTATTTCATCAAAAATTAAAATGTCTCACAAGTCCTAGGAGCTAAATAATAATTGTTGTATGTTGCAGTAGTTAATTATCATTTGAGGTTTTTTTTTGTCATTTTCCCAAAAAGAAACCACATATAATACAAAAATATACAATAACAAGGAGGTGAGGTCAGGTTAAAAAAAGAAAAAATTATATATAGATCTCTAGACTTATTTATAAATAAATCTCATAAAATTCAAACATCAAAACTAGGTCCTAAAAGACATGAGTGTAATTTAAAATTAGATTGCAAAGACAATAATAACCCTATAAAATATATATTACATTAATCAAATAATTAATTTATAATTATTTCATCAGCAATTTATAACTATAATTTTAATTTTTTATAACTATAGTTTTACATATCTAACAGTTAAATAATTATGTGTTACTAATAAAGTTTAACATTAATTATTTACAATTACTTCATCAGTAATTTATAACTATAACTTTAACTTTTTATAACTGTAACTTTATATATTCAATAATTGCACTGATTAATTTAATTGTTGAATATGTAAAATTATAATTGTAAAATGTTAAAGTTATAACTGTAAATTATTGATGAAGTAATTATAAATTATTCAATACTTAAATAACACAAAGTATAAAAGTTTTTCAATATATATATCATATACTCTGACAATACTTTTAAATAAATTACGTCGCTCGGGCCAAAAAAAAAAGCATTACATCCCCATAAATTAGTTAATTTTTTAATAATTACACATTCTTTTCTTGTTTATTTTTATTTAACATGATGTCTCAATTAAAAAATTTATTACTTACACTCATAATTAAGAATATTTTAGGAAAACCTCATTAATTAAATTTTGAAAGGCCTAAAATGTCTTATTTTTTGAACAACTTATCTAAAAAAAATACTTCATATTTTTTAATGGAGGGAGTACTATTTTTTATTATATTTATAAGTCATTTTCAATACTTAAATTGAAATCAAGAAAAAATATTAAAACTTATTAACTATGTCAAAAAAATTAATTAGTTTATAACTTTGTCTCCATTAAATATACATATTTTAATAACATATATATTTTCTCTCATTAATGTTTAATGTGGATAAAAAGGAAAAACTGTATTAAAAATTAATGCCATAATTTATAAATAATCTCTCTCTACCTTCTAAAGGACAATTTTCTTAATCCACCCTTCTAAATAGCAATGGGGAAGTATACATTTATTACATCACATATCAGTATATATCACAACATATTATATTATTTTTGCATTGGCTTTACAATATTTGATTGAGTTGATTAGTCTTCAAATTGGATTATGATATTGATATGTCATCAAGTGATCAGATGCTGTCACTTATCCTGGTTTATGATATATATGATACTAATGAGATGTTTACTATTATTATTATTATTATTATTTTTTGGTTGTGTATGTAATCGGATGAGACAATTATTCTTTCATATAAAATTATACATATAATATAGACATAGTAATCAATATATAATTTATGATTGATGGGGGGAATCTTGGAGAATGGTAGTGACGAGAAGAAAAAATAACAGTGAAGGTTGAACATAATTAAAGGTTTATCTATTTATAGGGTATATGTTCATTAATTATTTGTAAAAACAATTCAAGATTCATGAATTCACTCATGAATAGATGAACCTTTAGTTGTATTTGGCTTTCACTACTATTTTTTCTTCTTCTGGGAATCCTTACTGCCGTTGTCCTTAAAATCTTAAACCCTTACTGAATTCTAAACAAAATTCTTAATGACCCAATCTTGTTTATTCAATTAATTTCATTCTTCTCTATCCTTCACCATCTATTCAAAAACTAATAATATTCACATGTCTGGTGAAAAAATGATTTATTTGGAAATAAAAAAATAGAATAAAATATTGTATCCTAAAATTTTAGGAAACAGTTATTGGGCCTTCTTTTGATTGGGTTTGTGCTTCTTATATAAAGTTACAATAATGCAACGGTCTAATAATTTAGCCTCTAAATTCATGTTCTGCAAATTTTCTTTGTTTTTGGGAGTTTTTAAATCCATGATTTTCGCTTGGGGAAAAAGAAAAACCCATAAATTTCAGGAGATAAAAATATTAAATAAAAGAAGTTTGCGAGTTCGATGAGTTTCGATCACCCTGGAATCAAGTTGATGGTGAGTTTGATGTTCCGTTTTCTGTTTAGTTATATGGGAAAATCCTGAAATCTAGTCCAAGTGTTTTTCAACATTGAACTGGGTTAAGCTCTTGGCAAAAGATGTGGGCTTCTCAGAATTTTCAAAGCCGCGAGTATTTTTGTCATCGTTGTCCGGCTCGAAGTTTCTCAAAGGAATCATCCTCTCGGAATTTTCAAAGCCACGCTTCATCTTACTCATCCCATTTAGCTTGCCAGTTGCCACCACCTGTGAATTTTTTTGGTCAAAAAATCAACTTCTCATAATCTTAAAGTTATGATTTTTATAAAGTTGTTTAATTTTCTATGACTATTATAATCAAATATAGTATAATGAAAGCCCAATTGTGATATTTTAAATGC